ATGCCTCACTTTGCGATCTTAATGAGGCATTGCATGATTTGGTTGACTGTTTTATTCTTGTCCTTCATGCCTGTAAACGGATCAAAGTGATGCAGGAAGTACAACGGATCTAGTCAGCTTCTGTACAGGTAAATTAACTAATATATGGTCCTGTACTCGTAGGGCCAGTGTTAGCTTCGGGGATGCGTGTCTGCTGTAATTATGAAACACTCACGAGTTGGTTGGCAATTTCAGCCCCATAACCAGACACCAACTTATTCAAGTCTTCTCCTCTTACTCAATTTCTCTTCCACTTCCCCTTTCCTCTCTCTCTCTCTCTATACTTCCCCTTATTTGCAAGAGATAATTCTTGATTAATTTCCTGTATTCGTTCTTCTTATTCAAGATTATGCACCGAAGTTTACTTGACTCGTTAGCTTAAATTTGGTCGTGATGATGATACTGATGTTGGTCATGTGACGGAATCGAAGGAGATTACCTCGGAAACGGCGTCAACAAGAATGTTCCAATGAAGCCAATCGACAGCTGGTCAAGAGGAATCCATCGTCGTTTCCGGTGGAACCGATCTTAGAATCTCTCGAAATGGAAGTGAGCTCAACACTTATGAAACTGTAGTTTCCTCGAAACCCAACTTTTCTTCGTATATGTTATTGCTTTTGTCCATTTCAATCGATTCCTCGATCTTGCATTTAGCTGTAAAGTTGCCATATCTGGCAAAACGTTGGGAACTAGACAACTCTATCCGGTCTCCTGTAATGTTTACATGTTCAGCAAGATCCGATTTATGAATCTACAATCCTTTGCAGTTTGTTATGCGCTCTTATAACCTCTTGTGTATGGGCCGACAAGTCTACCCCACATAAACACAACTACATAAGTACGAAACTCTAGAACAGCCCCATCTGCAGAGGGCGTCCGAAGGTTCGCTAAAAGAAGACACGATCAAGGAAAGCGTTATTGTTTCTTTATACGTTGACTTGATGCTCTATTTTCTCAGCAATTCGCCTAACTTTCTTGAAAGTTTGCAGGATGGTGGAATTAGGAATTTGGACAGTACCAAATAATCGTTTCCGTCCACTCTGTTTCTTGGTATTCTGAAATTGTTAACAATTACTCCCAATGGATAATTGTTCTCAACTAAGGATTTTTTCAGCCTTTCTAGTTCTGTTCCCGAGGGTTTATGTTCACTAGACGCAAACTCTTTATTATCATTTATATAATTACTCATACTTTAACAACATAAGTATGATTTAAGAAGAAATTACGAATAAAACCCCCATTTGTAACTTGCCGATATACACTTCTCCACCCAATTTGTTCCCTTCTTTAACCACTAGGACATCTCACTCTTTAACGAATGTGCATATTTTAAGAACCCCCTTTCCCAATCCACTCTGGGTCACTTGAGGTGATTTTTCTTGTAAGGATAGTGTATTATTTCTCACAATTACCTCATGATACCATTTGACTTCACTGGATTTCTTTTTCCGAAGGCTTTTCTTACTCCGTTTTCACCTCGCCTATGCCTCATCAAATTTTTTCTACAAGCAGAATTACCTAAAAATACTTGCAAACACACTTTTTTGCGAAATTATGTTAATAGCTCTCGTTGACATTTTTGTAACGGATGCGGCCGTTGCCTAACGGACGACAAGCAATGGGCAATGTATTTGCATTTTTAGCCTCTTGATGTCTGCTACAAAAGCCATTTGTCCAATCGTATCAGCGATCGCTTGTCTCAATTGAGGCTGCTCATTTGGCCAGTGAGTACAGCACACCTCAACTCGGTCTCCAGCCGAGAAGTCGCCGCGGGCGAAATACGGATTAAGTGAGCACTACTCGGAATTATTATGCGCTCGGTGACCGACCTCACATTCCACCATTTTTGTCCACCTTTTTCATCACCGTTTGGTCGACGAAGCCATACTCAAATGTCCTCCGCTCCCCTCTCTTCTCCTCTTCTCTCCTCTCTTCGGCTTAGTCCTCTCGAGGGTGGGAGAGGCGTCATGTGAATACGACCAGTTCAAATGTGGCCACTGGTCACAACGATTACGCAACACTTTCACTGACCACCTGTCAACACACCCACTTGGATACATTCACTACCCAACACATACACATACACACACACACACACACACGCACACAGAATCACACAGAATGCACAGCCGGATGGAGAGGATGTGGCTTCAGGCAGATGCCTCGACCCAACCAGACTCAAGGGGACCGCCGCATGCCGATCCGTCCGATTCACACCATCTCCGGTAGCTCACTGTCGCCAGCCAGCCCCGGCTTGACTACAACCGTCTGCCAACTGGCATACAACCCGGTCGGTCACAACAGCCCTCGGACGGCCGGAGTGAATCGAGGCATCTTCTTTTGCCCTGGGCGTCCGACCCGACACCCACTCAGCCGGGCCAGCGACAGTCCTATCGTGGGAAGGCACTCACGTCTGCACACCGAGTCGCAGGTTCACAGATCTGTCTCGGGGCCGCCTAGAGACACAGACCGACAAGCGGATCTCGTGTGGACTCGAGTCTCGACGGAGCGACTTCTGCACTCGGCCGGGCCACGAGTCATCGCGGACCGGAGGCGTCACGAGGGCATCAGTGGCCAAATGTTCGGTGAACTCGGCGTGTATCTCGGCCTTGTTACCGGCCACGCGCACAACAAGTGGATGGGGGTAGAGAATGGGATTTTCAGGTTTGTTGCTAACGGAAAGAGTCAGTTTGGTGACAAGAAACAGCGACAATCA